TTGGCAGAATGGATCACTCATATCCTATGTTGCTACCTGTGTGAGGATTGATCACTGTTAAAAGCAATACTGCTACTGTTACTTCTGTCTGGGGCTACTATTTGGTCTGGGCCTTTTGGGCCTTCATTTGGATACCACAACATTTACAATTATTTTATAGATTCATAAATTCTGTTTTACAGTCCAAGCTTTGGCACTTGAATACTGATACCGAAGCAGCTGCAACTGTGTTGGGATCATGTGCCATGTTTTGAAGGAAGTCTCTGACTTCAGAGGAAAACCTTGATTGCTGTTAAACTTGTGACCTGGAATTTGCCTGCTGGTCAAGGCTGGTTGCTAGGCACTGGCACTCTGAGTTTAATGCATGGATGTCTTAATATGTATATAAGCTATATCTGATACATGTATCTGGCAAGTCAGTATGCATTTGTGCTTATTCTGGCTGTAAGAGGAAAACAAACAAGATTTTTGCACTGTTAATGGACTTTCCACCATACTTTTAAAGCACCATCAGTCAGATTCAAGGAGAGTTAGTTATGGGGTAGGTAGTATGGTAAGATTTGCAGAGCTCAATTTAAAAAATAAGAATATTTAAAGAAAGAGGAAAAAGACTGGTTATTTCTTGGGTGCACAATTAGAGAGGCTCTTCTGCAGCCTTTACTTTTCCCCTTTGGGTAAAGAAGTGCCCACTTTGTGTATCTCAGCACTATCCAGTTAGAGCTATCGCTTGATGCTACCCAGAGAGGTAATGAGTGTTTACAACTCGAGTAGTGCAGTGTTCTGGGAACAGTTTGACTTGCTCTCTCCTAAAGGCTAAATCCACCTATGTCTGTTGATTTACCAACTTAGTGATAGATATATGAAGCCAGAATGGTGCAGCTGTTGCTTGGATGAAAGTGACATGCCCTGGGTTATTTTGTCTGGTTTACCTGGAACCTGATGCATGTTCATCTGCACTGTATGCAAAACACTTAATCAGTGCTTGTGGAGTATGTGTATGGTTTGGTGCTTTTAGAAAGATTACACTTAAGCAGGTTTCATGCTATTTCTAGATGATGGTCCACAAAACTTGTATCCACAAATAGGAGTGATTCACAGTACAGAAAATGGGTATTCATTTATGAATTGCTTAGCTGTGTTTCCAGTTGTTAGTCAATATCAAGAAATACTACTGATAGGAAGACTTAAATCTTGAACTTGGCATGATTTGTTATATCAGTGGCAGTCAGAAAACAGCTTGTCTGTCAAGCTGCTTTACAAACCTGCTCCTGGATAGGACTGTTGGTCATAGTGTGGCAAAACAAAGCCTGAAAACTGCTTTCCCATCACTTTAATTCTTTATAAGGTTTCCTAATAGAATAGATCAATCTATATTTGTCCCTGCTGTTTAGCAGTTTTCAAAGGTGCTCCTTAGGCATAAAATTCTTTCGGAATCAGAGTCATTTAGGTTGGAAAAGATACTTCAGATTTACTCCAACTATATCCTCAGTTTTGAAAATTCTACATTTTTAGAAACTGTAGAAATTGCATAGTTAAACCAAGCTTTGCCATATTAGGTTACCAAGAGCAGAACATAACATGTTTAACTTTGAGTAAGATAATTTACTTAGAGGTCACAATACTAAAGTGAGTATACTACAAAGTAACTCACATTGTTTCTAAGGTGCTAATTTGTTTCAACCTTTTCCTGAAAGGATTTTGGTAATGCTTGGATGACTTTGCCTCTCTCTCTGTTCCAATTCAAATGCAGTAAGCCAGATTGCTTTGGGACACTGAGTCATGGGCCACACTGGAGCAATTCTGTATCACAGTTCAGCTGTCCTGAACAGTCAGGTCTTGGGACAGTTTTGGTGTAAACAACAAAATCAGTTCTCAGATTGTGGTAAACTTCCTCTCACAGAGGTGAAGCTCAGTAAATGAGCCTGACTGTAATAGGTCTTTCATGTGATGAGTCAACATGTAAGGTTTTACTGCTGCAGTGTCTGGGGATGCTGCATCCCTGCAATTCTGTTCAGAAACTGCTGAAGGTGACTACAAGTGGTTGGTGTTGTTACTGCCCTTCCTGGAGCCAGTTCTGGCTGCAGTTTGGAAATGAGACTCTAACCTTGCTTCTTAGAGCATGTATATTCAAGGTAATGTGTGGGTTTGCATGGTAGTAGTTAAAGTCATCCAAGGATCTTTTCATGTGCTGCTGATCAATGACTTGGGAATTAGAGGGAAGGCTTCCACTGGGTGATAGTGAATTTTATAGGGAGTTATGCTACTAGCTTGATTATTGCTTCTAAATATTTGCATGTAGGTGTCTACCAGATATTTTAAGTGAATTATTTTAGTTAAATTTCATAAGGTTCTATGAAGACAGGAAGATATTTATGGAAATGCTGACTTGTGTGGCTTCTTAGTGATACTCATTATCTTTGGGACCAGTTTTTGTCTATTTGAGTCTCATGTGGAAAATCTTGGTTTAGATTTTAATCTGTTGGTTTACTACTGAAATGAAAAACAAAAAAACCCCACACCCTCAAACCTCAGTTTTGGATTTGGATTTCTTTTGTTCCTAAATGTATTCTGCTTCCCATCTGCTTCTGGGTTTAACTGGCTTCTATTGTATTTATCTTTGCAAGTTTCTCTGTCTTTCTCATTGCTTTGTTTTTATTTCTGTCGCCTCTTTGTGGGAAGAAGTTCAAAAAGGCCTTTGTGGTTTGGGGTTTTTTTTCTTTTGTATTTTTCACTTTAAAGCACAATCTGGTACACTTATGAAAGGCAATGTCTGAAAAGGTATAGCACAGTGGTGCAAGTGTTATGGATAGCAGAAAGAAAGGCACTTGGACTCAACATATGAATTAAAATAGCATCTATTGGATCTAATGAAAAAACAGAAAAAAGGGGTAGCATAGATAACTTTACACCTGTTCAGTTGCTGGAACTCCAAGTTGAACAGCACTGGACAGATACATAGGCATGGCAAGCTGTGCAAATCCTATCTGTGGTGTGGATGACCGCATTGTAGTCTTCAGAGCTTCTGCAGTATGTCCTTGGAAGTAAATAGCTAAATTTATTGTTTCCTCTGCTGAGGAAAAGGATGTTATATGGAAACATGCTGCTTCACTTCAAGATATGAGATATAAAATTATAGAACAGGAACCACTAAAGGTGATCTAGTCCAACTCCCTTGAAATTAGCAGAGATGCCTTTAAATAGATCTGGTTGCTCATACCCCAATCCAATCTGATCTTGAATGTTTCCAGGGTTGATGCATCTACCGTCTCTCTGGGCAACCTGTGCTGTTGTCTCACCACTCATTATAAACATTTTCTTATTTATAACTAGTGTGAATCTACCTCCTTTTAGTTTAAAACCATTAGCCCCCTTTCTATTGCTACAGGCCCTGCTAAAAAGTCTGTCCCCATCTTTCTTACAAGCCCCCTTTAAGGACTGAAAGGCTACAATAAGATCTCCCAGGAGCTTTCTCTTCTCCAGGTAAATTTCACCACATTCAAGTGGTGCAAGTGCCAAGTGGGGACTGTGTGTTTTGTTACAATTATCTGCTGAGTTCATACACTGATCTTGGATGAGAAGTAGAATGCAGGCCTGCACCTATTCAGGTCAACTGCTATGTGAATCACAAACCCCTTGATGTACAGTCTTGTGTTTAAGTTCACTGACAGCAGAAATTAGAATCAGTATTGCTGGGTTTACATCAACCGGCTAATTATGCTGGTGAAGTCCATTACAGCTTTTGGAGTTTCTAATTTTTTTTTTCCCTGAATTAGATAACCTGAAACTGAATTGAATGTCCACAAGAAAGCTGAAAGCCCTAATGGGGCTGGAATTGACTGACAGCTTGGGCTGTGCTTTGCTTTTGATTCCTGCTTGGCCAAAGACCAAGGCTGAACTGAAATACTTTTATTCCATCACTAGTGTAGCCATTGCATTCCTTCTTGGTCTAGTGCATTTCATTCATTTCTTCATTTCCCTATCTGTCTTCTGGTTTCCTGTTCATGCTTTCTAAAAGCTGAGTGAGCTCCTGTTGCAGATGAGTGGAACATACCTCACTCAAAATACAGAGATAAAATAATAATTTGGCAGTTCAGTGAGTTCTGTGGAATTTAACAAAGTTCAGCAGTGGTTTGAGGTTCAATAAGTTCAATGCAAGGTTCATCTTATTAATTACTTCATGGAAGAAACATACAAAGGAAATGTGAGTTCAAATGGAGTTGGAATGATTCTCATGGAGACTGGAGGTGCAGGGAGTAAGAAGTCCCTTCCTGTTGAGTCACAAGGTTCAGAGGGGCCTCCTCATGCTTTCTAAACTCCCACTGGAGCCTAGTGGTGGCTGCATCCAGTTGTAGTCTCAGACTCTGTCAGTGGTTCATGTCTAATGGAATTAGGCATACAGTGTTTGTAACAATATGGAGTGGCTGGATTAGTAATGTTTCATAGTGCTAATTCAGCATGTTCTCAGTCATCTACCGTGAGGATCTGTCATAGGCAAGGGATCTTTCCACCTTGGATAAGGAGAGATCTCTTAGTTCCAGGTGAGAACACCTTGAGAGGTGTCCCTGTGTGTCACCTGGCATGCAGTTCAGGGAGATATCAAATTGGGCCCGTCCTGAGGGTAATATTTATAGGGTGGAGTAGCTGGCTGCTGTTTGATAAGATAGGTGTCTTCATTTTAGTGCTGATATCTTGTCCTGCACTTTGGCTACCTTGCTCTTCTGGGTTTTGAAACCACCTCTCAAAATATGTTTCGAGACACCTTGTTTGAGCCAGGGACTTTCTAGCCTGCAAGTTCAGCCCAAGAACTTGAGCCCTGTTGCTTCTTAGTCAGCCTGAAGCAAAGTATATCACGGAGTCTAAGTGTATCCAACACAACTCTCAACTTCAGTGGGAAGTCATTGTTTAGTCTGTGCCATCTCTATGCTTAAAGTCACTCCTCACTTATAAAACCTTTTTTTTTTTTACTTAACTCTTCTGACATATTTCTTTGTTTTTTGCAGAAAAGGTACAGTTTGGCTGTTGGTCCTCCCAAAAAAGTTCCAAAAGTCAAGGGTGTAGAGTCTGCAGCAGTGCAGGCATTTCTCAGGCGGCAAGAAGAAGAAAAGAGAAAAAAAGGTAAAAGTCCAAAATATTCCTATGGGAGACTTTCATTGATTTCTTTGAGATTGGTCACCTTCTTGAAAGCTCTTGCAAATACAGCTAAACATGTGTTTCTGGAATGTATGCACATAACTGGTGTCAGGGGAAACCAGGACTAAGTGAGGACTAAGGATATTTGCTTGTTTTCCTAAGGAGTTAAATGTTAATCAGCTACACAAACATTTACTGTTTGAGACTGAGAAGCAGTTAAGGTGAAGAACAAGAACCATGTGGACTTCTAGTAACTTAACTTTGAAAAGCTTTATCTGTGTGGAAAAAAATGCTAAGAGTTGCAGTTGTGTCTTCATTTAGTGTGTCGATACACTCTGAATTTTATACTTGTATGTCAGAGATGTTAGCCACAATTTTTCCACTGGAAAAAACTAACACTGCATTGTTTCTGATGTTAATGTTTTGTTAAAGATAACCAAACCTGATGGACTGGGAGGCACGGGGTATTCTTCCTTTCCTGAGCCAGTCAAGAGTCTGCTCCTTATCCCTGCTGCCAGGTCCAGGCAGAAGCAAGGCTGAGCACGAATTCCACATAGACATGCTTGCACACTCACTCTACTGTCACAGCCCTTGACAATAGGATAGCACAAACAGGGGATGGTACATCTACAGGCACCCAAAGCATGAGTAGCACAATTCCTTTTCTAGGAATTTTTACTTTTCTTGAATCTTTCTGATATTTAGCCTCTACTCCTTTGGTCTCTCCAGTACTGGGGTTCAGACCTCTCATCCTATTCACCTACTAGTTTAGCCTGAATGTTGTCAGCAGATCAGACACAAGACAGAGCATACTTATTCAGAAAATAGCTAAAACCACATCAGTAAGAATAAAGGGCAGAGGGCTCTATCAGACCTGTGTAGTGACTAGCTACTTGCTTATCTAGTTGACTGCGTCTGTGTCTGCCCTACATCTTTCTACACACAGAGCCTATTTGCCAGTTCTTATCACCCAAGACTCTTATTCCCCCTTCTTCCTCATCTTCCTTTAGATGTCTGATAGTAAATTCTGTGCAGTCTCAAAATTGTCTTGCTCAGTCCTAGAACTCCTTCCACTACCCAAAGATCTCATAACTGCTCTACCTCCTCAAACAGTAACTCTCCATAGATTGCACAGCATTCTGAAGAGCTGCTTCCCTTGAAATGGCCCTAGTGGGTTTTGCAGTAGCAGCATTTGACTTAATTGTTCACCTTTGTTGGAGTAGTTGATATAGGTGGGTTAGCCTGCCCTGTTGTCAGACCTCTGGTCATTTTCTGCTCTATTTTGGACAGCTGTTAGCCAGACATCCTTAAATTACTGTCCTAAATGGTTTATCAGTTTGGAAGAAATTAAAATTAAAAGTAGTGCTTCTGCATAACTTTCTCATGGTTTTTCTTACAGCCCTGGAAGAAAGAAGAAAGAAAGAACAACTCCTGGCTAGGCGGATTGAACTGAAGCATGACAGAAAGGCAAGAGCTATGGCCTCACGAACAAAGGATAATTTTTATGGCTATAATGGCATTCCCGTTGAAGATAAGCCTAAAAAGAGGAGGACTTGTGAGAATGTTGCTCAGGCCCCTGAGGCTGAGTATGCAACAGAAGACGAAACTGAGCAACTTGAATACAGCCAGACTGAATCTGAGCACGAGCAAGAAGAATATGAAGAGAAAGCATCCAAAGTTGTAGTGAAACCAAAGGCACCCCCCAAAAGTGCACCAGCACCTCTGAACTTTGCAGAGCTCTTGAGGCTTGCAGAAAAGAAACAGTATGAACCAGTGGAAATAAAACCAGTGAAAAAAGTAGAAGAGAGACCCAGAACAGCAGAAGAGTTGAGAGAGAGGGAGTATTTGGGACGCAAAAACAAAAGAGTAGAGATGCATAAGAAAAGTGAGAAGGAGATTAAGACTACAGGGATATCCAGTTCTTCAAAAAAAGTGTCTTCTCAAAAACCATCTGTAAATGCAAAACTTACTAAAAGCTCAGCAGATAAACATTCCACATCCAAAAGCAGTCTGTCGCTCTCTGTGAGTGGTACTGATAAGAAATCCAAAGCACCAGCATTGACTGAAAAGCACTCACGGGCATCCTCTTCCTCCAGATTTGATCAAATGGAAAAAAACCCACAAAATGGCTCCTTAAAAAGCTCTATGGGCAGCAGTCATGGTAAATTACCTGTCAATGGTATTAGAAAGTCTGGCTCAGGCTCTCACGTGCCACCCTCCAAACCGTTGGCCAACGGGGCTCAGAGGCTGCCATCTGCTAAAGAATCCAGCCTGAAAAAGTCTGCCCATACAAAATCAGGAAGTGCTGCAGCCCTTCAGCATGGAGTCAACTCCAACGCAAAACGATCAGGCAGCAGCTTAGGAAAAGGAGGACCTGGACATCCCGGTGGCGGTTCAAGCGCAGGACCTGGGCGATCCAGCAGCAGTTCTGGTGTGGGACCTGGAAGGCCAGGAAGTGGCTTAAGCTCAGGACCTGGGCGGTTGGGCAGCAGCTCGGCCACGGGGCCTGGAAGGCCAGGCAGCAGCTCAAGCACGGGGCCTGGAAGGCCAGGCAGCAGCTCAGCCACGGGGCCTGCGCGACCGGGAGGTGGCTCAGGTGTGGGACCTGGAAGGCCAACTGGAAGCTCAAGCACAGCACCTGGGCGGCCAGGCAGCAGCTCAGGCGTGGGACTTAAGCGACCAGGCAGCAGCTTGGGCACTGGACCAGGAAGGCCTGGCAGCAGCACAAACACAGGACCTGGGCGACCAGGCAGCAGCCTGGGAACAGGACCAGGAAGGCCAGGAATCAGCCCAAGCACAGGAGCCAAGCGGCCAGGCAGCAGCCTGGGAGCAGGGCCGGGAAGGCCAGGAATCAGCACAGGCGCAGGGCCTGGGCGACCAGGCAGCAGCTTGGCTGCAACTGTAAAACCCAAGTGTACTGTGGTATCAGAAACCATTTCCTCTAAAAACCTCGTCACCAGGCCTAGCAATGGGCAGATAAATGGAATGAGACCTTTCCAAGGGCACAGACCTATGCTTCATCCACAAGGTATACATCTCTAGAGGAAATGATGTTTTCACTGTTGTGGTTTAACCCCAGTTGGCAACTAAGTATCACACAGCTGCTCACTCACCCTGTGCCCTGGTGGAGAGAAAAATTGAAAAAAGAATTGAAAAGCTCTCATAAGAAGGATTTAATTATTAAAACAAAATTCAATATAATCAAAATTATATCAAAAATTATTATAATAATTGCAATGGAAGAGAGGAATAAACCCCAAGAGACACAAGCGATGCACAGTGCAATTGCTGACCACCCAGCCTGTCCCTGAGCTATTACATCAGCATTCCCCAGCCAACTCCCCCCAGCTAATGTACTGAGTGTGATGTTCCATGGTGTGGAATATCCCTTTGGCCAGTTTGGGTCTGGTGTTCTGGCCATGCTCCTTCCCAGCTTCATCATGTGCACCTCCTCACTGGCAGAGCATGGGAAACTGAAAAGTCCTTGACTGAGAGAAACCACTACTTAGCCACAAATAAATCATCAGTGTGCTGTCAGTGTTTCTCATATTCAAAGTGCATCACTGTGCTAGCCACTAAGGAAGAAAATTAGCTCTATCCCAGCAAAAACAAGGACATTCACTTAGTAAATGTTTTGTATTTTTATATATGTCCAAGTTGAGGTCACTGTGGAAGTGAATTAGGAAGGCAAATGGACATAGATGAGGAAGAAGGAATAAAAGAGTATTGGGGGAATAAGAAGTGGAAAGCAGGCTCTGTGTGTAGAGGAATGTAGGGGAAAGACCTATGTTGATTATTCTTGAAACACAGGTGGTGTGAAGCCTTACATGAAGGAAAACTAAGCAGCCTGTGATGGATGTTGGTATAGGAATTCTGCTAGAAGGAAGAGGATTCACTTTCTGCATTGCTTGATAATGCTTAGTCTATAAAATTTTGTAGTGTCTTAAATAACACGTGCTTGAAGTGGTACATGAAAAGTAAAACCACAGCAAACTTATGACTGGTATTTCAGTGTTTTGGCAAGTTCACCTTATCAGTAGCAAGCAGTGTGGAGTCTACTGAATAAGTGCCTAGAAAACCCTGAACAAAGAGCTTAGACATCTGTGGGGTGGTTTCCTCAGCGTGCAGTTGGTGATAGTGATATGTAATCTCCTCTAGCACAACTTAGAGGAAGTATTTCCTTTCACTAAAATTCTGAGAATTGCTTGTTAACAAATGTTTTCCACCTTGAAGCTCAGAGCTGTAAAATGGCTATGCCCAAGGTACAGCAGGAAGAAGCACTTTTAAATTAATGTATGTTAATGTTATTTGTTACTGATTTTTTTTTTTTTTATCAACTGTGATTTAGGTCTTGGAAGACCACCTATTGGTTACAAGAGACAAATAGAAGATGATGATGATGATGAATATGACTCTGAAATGGATGACTTCATTGAAGATGAAGGGGAACCCCAAGAAGAAATATCAAAACACATTCGGGAAATATTTGGCTATGACCGGAAAAGGTAAGAAAAATGACAATTTTAAGATCATAGAATCATCAAGGTTGGAGGAGACTTCTAAGATCAGAGTCCAACCATTAACCTGCCACTGCTGTAATCCCTAAACCATATCCTCCAGCACCAGATCCAGACACCTCTTAAACACTTCCAGGGATGGTGACTCCACCACCTCCTGGGTAATCTATTCCAGTGCCTGACCACCCTCACAGGGAAAACATTTTTTCCTAACATCTAATCTGACTCTCCCCTTTCTCAGCTCAAGGCCATTACCTCTAGTTCTCTACCTGCAGCCATGGCAGGAGAGACCGTCCCACACCTATCTACAATCCCTGTCAGGTAGTTGTAGAGAGCCATGAGGTCACCCCTGAGCCTCTTCTCAAGGCTAAACAAACCCAACTCCCTCAGCCACTCCTCATATGACATGTTTTCCAGACCTTTTCAGAAGCCTCTATTGCAGAACATGCAGTAGAACAACAGAAATTACTGTAGTTCAACAAATACAAATATTTTAGAAACAGGGGGAGTGCAGGTATCCCAAACTTGTACTATGCAGAAATCTAACAAGCATCAGAGCTGCTTTTATGCTGAAGGGATGTTGAATTTTCATGCTGCCTGCCATGCTCTTCTAGGGAGCAGTAACATTTGACTAGGACATCACTGGAAAACAGCATGGCTTCTTCAGGGTCTCACCTGGATAATTCATAGCAACTCCTATTATTGGATGGTAAAATGCTTTCTGTAGCAGTCTGCACTGTTTCAGAGTTCATCAGAGTGTGAATTGCTGAATGCAGTAGTGTTAGCTGCTCTCTGAGAGGATTGAACTTGCCTGGGAACTGCTGGAAAATGAAGGCTCTTAGTTGGCTTATTTAAGTACTTCCCTCTTGTCTGACAATATGGGGTAAGAAAACAAGCATTTAAAGGCTTGTAACCAAGATTCTTTCAAATGCTTAAAATCCTTGTATGGCAAGTAGTTATTCTTTCTAAAGAAGGGAGGTGAATTCATGAACTATTGCATTGTGTTTTAGTGTGCTGAAAACTGTTATTTAATTTCCAGGTACAAAGATGAAAGTGATTATGCCTTACGTTACATGGAGAGCAGCTGGAGGGAGCAACAGAAAGAAGAAGCTAGGAGGTATGCATGGATTTAAACTTGGAGAAAAAGTGGGAGGTTTGTTTATTGCTGAAGTTGTAGTCAGCAAATCTCCACTCTGCTTTTTATTAGCAGAGGTAAATAAGCCTTACCATTTTTTATAAGGAAGCTTAGGTAAAGATGAAGCTCAGGCAGCTGGTGGTGGGTATACTAAATAAATCATGTGTATTCATTCTTATGCATCACAAACTTTGCTTGTTAAGAAAACCAGCCAAAAAACCAAAACCAATTCATTCCCAAAAATCTTTGAAAATTTAATTTACGTTTCAGTTAAAATTGCAAATCCTTCAATTTGTCCCAAACATCACAATACTCTGCTAGTTTGAGGTCTGGAAGATTTGGTTTTATCTATATCCCTGTGTGTATATTTCTAGGTAAGTATAAAAAGTATGCTGAAAACTTCTTGTAGTCAGTGATTTAAAGTATGAAGACTATATTTTCAGATTGGTTTTGGCCTCTAGACCTGCACAATTCTTATGCTATAAACTGCTTTTCTCTTTGGTTTTTAATGGCTGCTGGAAAAAGCTGCATGAAAGTTATGAGGCTTTTCTAGGTAATGGAAAATATTGGAATATAGGCAGCTGCCAAATTTTCTAATTCTATTTCAGTTTTTATAGTCTTATTCAGAAGGTGCCTGGAGCATTAGAAACTTGCATCTTTTAAGTCAGTGTCCTTATTTCTCCTTGCTCCTGAGGAATAATAGCTGCAGCTCATGCAAAGTCATGCTCTGTTAAATGGAGTGAGGGGAAACAACTGGAATTTTCAAGTGATATTGCTGTTAACTTAATTCTCTGTTGAAAACCTAGAGTGAGGTTTTGCAGAGCTGAATTCCTGCCTCTTTTTTAACTACACATGCAGCATAAAGGGAGTGGAGATAAGAAATGAGTTAAGCTCAATTTAACCCTTTCCAGTGCTCAGTTGTTTTCCATTGAGCATTGTGGCCCTTGAAATGAGGAAATTTTTCTAACCAAGCAAGTCCATATAAATTATAGTTGTTCTAAGCTGAAATGAAAAATGTTTCTTCAAGCCAGTTTCACCACAAAGGTCCTTGTTGTGTTTGTATCTGTCCTAATTTGTCTGACTGCAGTTTCCTAAATCCAGGGAGGTAGCCAGAACATGCTGTATTAGCAGAGTCTTTTCCATGGGCTGCTCACCAGAGTCGTAGCAACCACATGCACAGAGGGTGGAGCAGTGTTGGGCTTGTAGCTGCCTGTATGGTGTCTCAGGCCAGGCAGCTGCAACAAAAGCTTTTGCTTCTCAACGGCTTGACAAGTCCATTCTCTCTCTTACCAGTGAAAAAGGTTTAGGCTCTCAAAAGTTGCTGTGTCAGTCCTGCTATGACTTGTATGAACTTACATTGGCAACAATTGATGGATGTGTTTCAGCAGCTGCTTTTTGGGAGGGGGGAAAAAAAGACCTTATGTATCAAAATTTTTTATACTATCTTGATTTTTTTTTAACAGAAGTTTTACATTTTTCCTCAAAATAAGATTCTAATCTAATGATACAATCCTGATTTCTTAAAGCTGTATCTTTTTCTCTCATAAAGATCTGATCTAAAATTCTTGTTCGGATCAGCTGTTGTACTTTTAGGATTGCTTTTCTTGAGGGAAAGCAGAAGTAAAACTTCCTGTGTTTTGAGTAGCAGTGTAAAGGATTTCATCTTATTTGGCAGCTTGAGACTGGGTGTTCAGGAGGACTTGGAAGAACTGAGACGGGAAGAAGAAGAACTGAAGCGCAAGAGACAGACCAAGAAGCTGAGGACACGTTAACTGACTTACGGTGTTGACTTTGTTCATGTTTCTGCTACCCTCTGCCTCCATACATCTCTTATTCTACTTCAGTTCCCATCTGCTTGTTAGAGGGCAAAAGAATACTTAAAGGGATTAAAGTACTGAAAAGCAAGGCTTTAGTTTGACCTAAATAAGATATTTATTTTTAATACTTGCCAGGATTGTTTTTTATGAAGAAATTAATGCACTAATGCATATTAAATGGAATAAAATTAATAGATGTTTCCATTGATTAAACCAGTTCAAGATGCCAGCAGAAATATTGACTAGCTATGCACTGACTTGGAACTGTGTGGGCCACACACCAGAAAACCAATTTTGCATTCTCTTGAAAGAAAGGAATAGCATTGTTGTTCCCTGATACTTCTTGAGACTTAGAGAAATTGCTTTATATCCTACTCTGTCTCTCAACAGGAGCCTCAAACTATCGAAGTGTCATCTTCTGTACAGCAGCAGCTTGGGTGTAAATTCAGGCAAAGCCCACAGATGTTTAAGGCAATGAAGTGCTGCATATTTTTTGGGTTTGAGGACCCATAAAACTAAGTTGAACCTCTTTATTTCCAAACAGAAACGTGCATGTCATTTGCAAGCTGTGCAGTTATAAATATGGCCAAAAGATCATGTTGGCTTTTGCTGTGTCTGGAATTCCAATGCCAGTCTAATTCAGTATGAGAATCACACACCCTGACATCAGGAATTTCTAGTGTTTGTATGTAACTTGTGCTTTTGGACTCAAGCATATGCCTGGGAATTCTTTTCCTGCCCTGTAAATCTTCACATTTAACAGCTTCTGCTGCTTTTGCAAATTGTTTTTTTTCTTGCATTAAACATCCGATGTGTTAAATTATTTAAAATGTGAAGTAGTCATTTATCTAATTAGTTTTACTGTTTAGGAAGCACATCAGAATTAAGTTTTGCTAGAATGCATTTGCAGCTCTTCGATATTAACAACTTCATGTTAACTAGTTAATGCTTGTGATTGATTTCATCAAGCTAAAAACCTAAAATATTATGTATAGCAGGAGAGTTAGTTCAGTTACTTACCTTAATGCCCATATTTGCACATGATTTCTAACTATGCACTTAAAGACTGTTTGTTTCAGTAACTGAATCTGTTTACAATCAGCACAGGGTTCATGTAAGTCTACAGGAGTTGTACTGAGTCTGAAGCTCAAATCTGATGTTGCATCTACTCTGCTTTCCCCATGTTGCCCTTCAGAGCTCACCAATATCACTACTCAGCTCTGCCTCAAGCTCCAGGACTCCACTGATAGCACCTCTATCTTCAGCTGCTAAGGCCACTAGGTTTTAATGCTAGAAATACTTGCAAAAGTACAGGAAAGGCTTTCAGGTGTTGGTTGGGCAGGAAAGAAAAAGGAAAAATTACCTTGTGGGAAAATGACAAAGGAACCTTTCCTATTGGGGTTATTTTTTTAATAGTGCTGCTTCTAGGAAGCAGTTCAGATAGCAACATGTAAGGAACAGTCTTGGGAGCTGCTGAAGCTTAAACATCTGACTCTTAATGTAAGAAAAAACAGATTTGCCTTTCTAAGGTGTTTCTGTAGATGGTGTAACACTTCACTGCCTCACTAAAACACTGATGTGACTAAGCTATCAGTGTAGAGTGTATAAACTAATTCAGTGTTAGCTGACAGGGAGCATGGGTAGAAATACCATTGCTGCTCCTCTGCAATTTTAATTTTTCTCTAAAAACTGTTTCTCAGTGTATGTACTTGAGACCATGCAAGATAGTGTAACTAACCTCACTGTATGGAAGTGTGTTGTATTCTCTGCTGCATTGGGACCATCTAAAATTGCCTGTTGGAAATTTCCTGGTTTTTAGAATTATTCATTCAAGACAATGAACATTGGGACCATGATCAGGTTGCTGGGTTTTTACTTTTGAATTCTTTTTAGCTGAATAAAGGCTTTAGATCTGTCAACCCAGACAGCTATATCACCTGTGAGCAACTTCCTGCCTGGTTGGGGAAAAATGTCTCTTACAAAGCAGAAGAAATATATATATTAATTTGAAGTTGGTTCAGTTTGGAATGAAATCTGTATTTCAGACATAGGTTAGATAGAACCTGATTATTTTGCCACGTTCTGATTATTCAACCATGCAAGATCGGTTCAACTCCTTAATCTGTAAAGCACTTTGTCATTTTGATGGTGACTGGAATGTACTCTGCTAGCCTCCCTAAGACCCTGTAAAACTGTTTCTCCCCACAGTGATCATTGCTCAAATTTTGTCTGTTTCATAGGAAAAATTATTCAAGGACACATTTGTAATTTTACAGTCAAGAAGTACCTTCTCAATTGGCATGGGATATTCATGGGGTTCATATTTTGTACAAATGTTTGGCTTTTAATGTGCTTGCATTTGCATATTTGTAAATCAGCTAGGATTAAAAACTTGGTTTTTAATTCCTGACCTTGTATCCAAAAACGTGTTTACCGTTTGCCAGATTAATAGTATTTGTCTAACAACAGTGTTTCAGTACATGGCCAAAGTACATCTGAATTTGAGGTTAAAACCTGGCAGAATGCTTAGATGGGTTTATTGGGATCAGATGTTCAGCTAGTGATTTAATTGTATTTCATGAAATTCTGGTTTGGTTTTTAGATTTTTAATTCACTGTTTGACAATGTGCCTTTTTTACTAAATTGTGTCAAAAATATAATGAATGTAGGAGTTTTAAAAAGGTTGGTTGGTTTCTGCTATCTCAGATTCTATATCCTTAAACTTGAGAGTGTGAAATGAGATACTTTTCATAGAACCCTTCCAGGTCTGGCTTTGATTGCACAATTAAGGTAGCTACTTCTTTACTGCTAATGCTAAATCAAACGAAGGGCACTTTCTATTGATGACTACTTTTTGAAAATGTCTTGTATTTCCACTTGAGCTGTAGTTTACTTTACAGCCATGTCTTTTGGAGGCCAGGGTTTTGCATATCACAGGAAGCCTTAGTGTGCAACTCTGTGCTGTGCTTAAAATAAAAATCTTTCAAGAAGTATATGAGATCTCTATGGAAATCGGGATTTATTTTTGTGTAAAGCCCAAAATATTGTCCAGGAAAACTAATTTTCTATTTTTTTTTCGCATTTTGTAACATAATCTAGTAGCTGATGCATATTTGTAGATATAGCGTATTTCTGGAGACCAAAACATGTCAAAGAAAATAAATATATGGAGAGACTGGTGTTTAAATTGTGATGAATGTACTTGTATTTATTTTGGTGAGTGGGTGTGATGCAATATTGAAGTGTTAGTGTGTAAAAAAGGGTGCTTCTAGTTTTAGCCAATGATTTTTCTTTGGGGATATCATGTGTGCACAATGTCTTTTTACACAATGTGACAAATCAGGTTAAAAACTCATAGCTTAACTGCTTTCTGGTGCTGTCAAGGAAGTGTATACTTTTGCACACACCAAATGCATCTAAGATTTGCAGAGTATGTATACAATAAATTACAGGCATTAAACATTTTGCTGCTATTGGTTTACTTTATGGAAGACTTTTCAGAATTACTTTCTGCTGGTTTCCTCAGCAGCATTAGGCTGAATGTTCTTCAGGAATTGTTCTTATGTAGCCAGCAAGAATGTATGAAAAATGCAGTCACAAGCCTTCAGAAAAGATCTGAAAGTCACAGGTGTCTCCTGCAGTTGAGGCTGACATAATATATACTTGGAGGTCCAACCATTAACCTGTCACTGCTGTAACCCCTAAACCATATCTTCCAGTGCCAGGAATGGTGACTCCACCACCTCCCTGGGCAAACTATTCCAGTGCCTGACCACCCGAACAGGGGAAACATTTTTCCTTACATCTAATCTGACTCTCCCCTGTCTCAGTTTATGACTGTTCCCTCTAGTCCTGAAGTGGAGTGTTTCATCCTCCAGTTTCATAAGCATCATCCTTCTTGGGTTCTCTTGCTCCCTCGACTGCCTTGATGGCTGTCTCCTCTGGAAGGGTTTTCTGCTTTGACAGGTGGATGTAAATGCAGTGGCTGTTCTGAGCAGCTGATGCTGTGACCCACTTCCAAATGGCTAAATGGATACACATCAGTGACCCACCTGCCTTGCCTTTGAACAGCAGCACTCGCACACTCATGCTTTGTGCTAGGATTAAAAAAATTATTTATTTCAGTGTCCTACGAGTACCTTGTTTTGAAGGCATGAAATCTTACCTTCTTTGGAATTACCTTGTATGGAATTCCCTTGAGATTTTTAATGTACCTTAATAGCTGTAATCATTTTCTTCAAAGCAAATATGCTCAGGTGGAGGGTGGCCCTACTTTGAGGTATTATCTTAATCCAACCAGTAAAGCTACTTCTCTGCGAACAAGAAAATTATTTTACTCAGGTTGGGAAAAAATAATTCCAGCTTTCCCTTGTTTGGGGACAGCTTTTAGTTGTAATTTATAATAAATAACATTTTAGGTGCACAAGACAGAGCTATTGGTTAGTCAACCCATAGAGAGCCTTTTCTTAACCCTGGAAATGCACGTGGAAGCATTTTTCCATGAGCCTGGGAATCCAAAAGCCTTTGGCATCTCATGTTTAACATAGAGGAGAGCCAACCATGCCCTGAGGTGCACCAGGCAAGGCATTGCAGCTGGTTTAGGGAGGTGATTGTCCTGCTCTGCTCTGTGCTGCTGCAGCCTCACCTTGAGCATTGTGTGCAGTTTTGGGCACTATAATATAAGAAACATATTAAGTTCTTGGAGAGCATCCAAAGGAGGTAATGAAGATGCTGAAGGGCCTTGAGGGGAAGCCATGTGAGGGGTGGCTGAGGTCACTTGGTCTGGAGAAGAAGAAACTGAGGTCAGACCTCATCACTGTATACAATTTCCTCACAGAAGAGAGTGGAGGGGCAGCACTGACCTCTTCTCTCTGGCAAGCAGTGACAGGACCTGAGGGAATGGTCTGAAGTTGTGTCAGGAGAGGTTTAGCCTGGATATTAGAAAATGATTCTTC